GGTAGTAGAATACACGATGCATGTTTTGATGTGGTTATTATATTGTTGAAAGGCGAATATAATTGCTGCAATACAACGGTTAAAATAGCGGTAGTGTGGTAGCTCCAAACACGCTTTGAGTTTTGAATCTATTATGTTGGATTTGTTCATCAATTTAATAAACTTTTTGCATTTAATATAGTTTATGTGAACTGTTTTTACAATACATTTTGAAAATAGTGGTTTTAATTTAAATAATTCTTGTTTATATGATTGTTTTTTTTTTTATATTATACAATCCCGGGGGGAATACAAAAAAGTACACTTTTGAGTTAAAACATATTTTAAAATTACTTTAAATCTAAAACTGACAACTCGAGAAATAAAAAGAGTATTTGAGCTTCAAGGCCAACACGATTGTTTAAGTAGGTAATGTATGACTACACATTTACTTATTCGGACAAACCTTTGACATTCAATTTTAGTGAGAGGATTTATTCAACAGATGATATTCTACAAAAACTGAGGGTCTGAATATTAGTTATCCATCGTCTTAAACAATACAAACCTTCAAAAGATAAAACCACCAGACTTTTCCTAATGCACTAGTGGACTTTTAGTGACTCCAATGTGTACTTAAATTGTTGCTGTTGGTTTAATTGGAAAGCCCCCCCCCGCGAAAAAAATAACCTTTCAAAGTACATAATTGTTATTTTTAAGTAGATGAACGAGGAAAATAATAAATAATGGAGATATATATTTTCAAAAGTTAGGAGTTATGTAGACTTTTGTTTTAAGTAAAAAAATCAATTAAGATAATTTAAAAAGTAAAGTCCATTGTATTATTTCAGCTACCAGTGATTGGGATCGGAATGAACACATTTATTTCAAAATTCACATTTTTATTCAAATCTAAAATTAAGTTATTGAAAAATTTAAATCTTGGCAGGATATTATTTTAGCAATTTTTTACAAATAAGTCTTGCATCTGAGATAATAGTTGAAGCAAGTACGAGCAGACAAAGACATATTCTAAAGCTTGGCTGGCATCCAGCCATGATAAGGTGAATGAATGTATTCAGAATTCGAGAGACATTCTGAAAATAGAGTTTCTAAAGAGTTGAACGGAAACCTTTTCGGTGGGATTCATCCAACATTCAGAAGATAAACGTATTGTTCTAGCTTAACGCGATTGAAGTATTGTAATTTTCACGTTTACAAATTTTGAACAAGCCTTTTCGATAAAACATCAGAAATAATACAAAAAATGATTTATTATGTTGTTTTAGAACTTAAAAATTTCCAAGGAGTTAAAAAAGTTGAAATAGTAAACAAGTTAAATGTTAATCATATATATAGTTGGTGTCAATGAATTGAATCAAATTAAATTAATTCACTAATTTACCATTACAATTAACTAAATTGTTAGGTTGAATTGTTATGTAAAAAATTTTCAAATTGCTATGTAGGTATAATTGATTGTTGAATAAGATATTTAGCGTAGTGACGAAAGTTTTTCTGAAAAGCTGGTGTACCAGAGAAACGCTTAATAAAGACATTTTTTATTTATTTATTACAGTACCTAAAAGAATATCACAGGTTATCTTGCTAACAAAGCCAAATTGTAGCGTCTCACTTTTGTTGCTAGAAGAGGGTTTGATTTTATATCTAAAAACATTTACCGGTTATTTTCTTAAAAAGGGTTTGTCATTTTTCATCACAAAATATTACCGGTGTACATAAACAGCTCTATTTGGAAAGATACGTTTTACTTTATTTCATTAATTGCTTTTGACAATTGTTATATTTTCTAGCGTAGTTGTTCTAATGTTTAAAATAAACTATTATAGAAGTTTCATAGAAGTAGTATTTTCATAGAAGTTTTTATCAAATGACAGTGTAGGCCTGTATAAAAGTTAACTTTTAACAAATAAATAAAGGAAACGGAAGAAAACTACAACACATTATACATTTTACATGAAAGAATTAAATATTTAACACAACCTCTGGGGAATATAATTTTGTGTCCTCAACTCCAACGGTGCGCAGTCGCAGTGTACTCATCAACCGAATAGAACACAAGACTTTTCAAGTCACGTTTCAGTTTTCTTTTTGAATAAAGAAGAAATTCATCTTAAAATTATCTATTCATCTGTTCTACTCCAAAACAAGATTTAAATAATAATTACCAACTGCACTCTTTAAAATATTGTTAGAATTATTAAAAAAGAGATTCATTAGGGACCAACTGTTTAATCATGCTACTTAGTGATTTTCAAGGAAATCCAACAACGAAGCACTGTAGTTTGAAGAGCTTTGTCTAAAACATCCGATGATATCCTGAGAGGATTATTGGAGATCCTCTCGACCAAAATAATACCCTGATAACGATCCTACAAAACCGGGTTCTTGTTTAATAATGTGATTGGACAAAGGAAAAATATACAAGTGTTACCAAAAATATTATAAAATGACGGACCATTACGTTTCAGAAGATATATAAGCTTTTAAAACCTTAAATACGAATCACACAATTCCTGAATATAATTGAAACTTATTAAATTAAATAGACTTTTTTAGTATAATATATACAAAATTTATTTATAACATTCACTATTAAATTAACGTGCAAGTAGTATTTTTGAGAACAGTAAGCAATAGTGTTAGAAAAATAAACCTTGTGCAGCAGTGACATTATTTGCCCATAAATTGTTCTTTAATAGTTGAACAGCTGGCTCACATACGTTGTGTTACACTCCCAAAATTAATTTATTTAGGAAATAATTTTAACAAATTTCCACTATTTTTACACATATATTATAAACATTCATCAATTACGTCTTTACTTATTTAATTATTTATTCACGGCCAAATCGCGGTATTTACAATCAATTACATGCATATCAATTTGTGGATGATATTAATACGATCGCTTAGGGGTTCTGCGAATGTTAACAAAATATTGAAATGCGTGTAACCTAATCTACCTTATGTGTTAACACAAAATTTATGTTATTACTAAAGATGTTTGGAGTTTATTTCATACATAAGGTAATCAATTCGTACTAGAAAAAAACAATAACATAAGTTTACTTCATGATAAATCGTAAAGTGGACTGGTTTTAAGGTGTCTAGTTAAATTATCGTAACGGCGCTCTAGCTCTAGGATCGATAATGATTTTCATACACCTCCTAGTGGGCAAACGACAATTATAAAAAAATGTGCAGTTAATTACAACAAAATAACATATTATAATTATTTTTTATTGACCTTTACTAAATATATTGTTAAAATCTAATAATTGTTCTCTGATGGTTAACTGTTATTTAGATTGTCTTGTTTCTTGTTTTTTACCTACTATTTCTATTTATTTGTTTGTTAGTTTAATTTTTGTTATTTATTAAGACGAACGTTGTTCTAAAAGGCAGTATTTACAGTACTGATACAATTATGATCAATTGAGGATATTTTTATAATTTTTTTTATCGTTACACGGTTATATCAATTTATTTAATATCTTTTACTTTTTTTCGTAATACTGCAATTTTTAATCGGAAATCCTTAAACATTTATGACTGAGGAGTCCATCTGTAACCTATCACCAGTTCCTTATAGTAAATTACGTGACTAAAAGAAAATTAATCAAAATACATTATTTCATTGTTATTTTTATAGCTAATAACACTTATAATTAATTATAGTAATCTTGTTCGTTACTGCATATAATGACTTTCATTTAGATACAGAAACAGTTAATCAACACAGTTATGTAGCCTACGTAATTGAAGTACTGTACATAACTGTATATTAACGTAGTACCTATGAACATATTTCAAGTCAATTCTAGTGTGTTTGATTAAATTACCGTGAAAGCACTATAGGAAACTTTAAAGTGTTGTTTCGATGTTCTGCAAAAGGTAAATTACTTATTGATTTTCCTTCGGCGAAAGAAATAAAAGTTTTGCCGATAATGGAGTTGGACCAGAAGTTATATGTCGTTCTCTGATTGGAAGGTTCTGTTGGTATTTCGTTCAATGTTGGTTAATTGATTTTAATTTTATATCTTCATCTCTCGGTGAGTTAAGGGCATGTAAACCGATTTTTCAATACCCTTTCAGCACAAATGGTGACCATTCAAAAACATCAAAACCATAGTATTTTAAATTGGGATACAGAATTCTCGAGGACTCAAAAGTTTCAAAGATTTTACCGCTGGAAACATTAAATATTAATTTATTGTGTAGCATAAGGTACTCGCATAAGTTAAACTTTGAGATAAAAGGGTAATAATACAGTGTCAGGAAGTTTTACTTCGCGGTTCGTTTAGCATCAACTTTGGGGGATACGTATGTTATATATATAATATCCAAGGACTCCTTACGGGCGGAAACATTATCTTTCCCAATTTCATGAGCAAGATTGATTTAGTATAAATAGGCTTATAAATGAAGCGCGTAATATTTCGTTGTTGCAATCACATAAATAAAGATATATATTTGCTGATGCGGTGTCATTAATCTGAACTGAATAATTTAATATATTTACGCTTTGTTTTAATGAAAGACCGTAATTTGCAGATTACTAACTACGTAAGCAAGAGCTAACTTAATGAGTAATCCATGTGAGGCAATTAGCTGTAGGACACTAAATTGTGTTTTTATTTTATACTTTGGCTTATGTAAAAATAATTTCCGTTAGCACCAAAGTTAGTTTGTAGTTTTTCTTTCAGTATATTATTTCTTAGTCTTCCCTAGTGGCTCAACCATGTGATTTTCTATCCTCGATTACAGCTTAGTTATTACTTGAACCGGTATTCGTTTTGGGGGGTGTCAACAATAGGCCTAATATTCACCCTTTCCACGATTTAATAAATTCCATTCTTAAATATAACTTGTTTAAATTGAATTTTTTAGAATTATAACAACTAATCTGAAATATAACTCATCCCAAATACAGCAGCTAACTGTAAATCTACCGTTTCCTAATAATGGAATGTTTTTGTAAGTAGGCATATGCTTACCCATTTTTCCCGCGCTTATGTCGAACTGTCCTGGAGCGTCGTGAACGAAGACTGGCCTCGAACATAATTCCTGAAACAGGTCAGAACAATCATCTGGTGAAGTGCTCTTTGAAAAGTTAAACAACAATTACAGTATTACAAAAAATACCATTTGTGATTGTAACTTTAGATGATAAAGGAAACCCATCTCTGCTCATTTGGACGCGAGTGGTTTAATGGTTACATCACAGGTTTCTGCTTTTGATGCTTGAGATATTGCCAACCACCAACGACTATTAGCAAATTTCCCATACAGGGAATGCGCTACTACCGCAAATCCCATGGTAAAACCTATACCCACATACCCGGGAGCGATTTAATTTTTCGTATTTATATCCGTAGAGGCCAAAAACACCATCCTTTCAGATTCATATACACATATTTATGTCCCTCAGCACGATAACTCCAGTTAATATAATCTTATTTTGATGGTATTTCGTAAAAACGTGTTAATCAACGTTTATTTGAACGAGTTCGCAAATCAACATGATCGGACAAAATTGGGGACGGTTTTTCATGAGGATGTTTTGTAATTTCTTTCCAATGTATTTTTTAGAGCTTGAAAAACAAATAATTGAGTATATTGAAGCGTATTTGTACGCCTAATGGTTGCAGTGTAGAATCAAACAATGTTTTAATCAAACATGGTATTTAAACAACGCTAGATCAACAATGTTCATAAAAGCAAACTGAATCGTGTTATTCGCTAATGTGAAGATTTACCATCGTGTTTTTGTAAAGTGTGCCAAGAATAAACATCGCCCGTAAACAACAATGATACATTGGCCTTTCTGTTAGTGGAAAAATATCTTCCCCCAGGTACTGCATATAGAAACATATGAATGCCGCTATTGTGTTGCCTAATATGTTCACCTGGCTCAAATATTACTTCTTACGGAACAATATTAGCTTTTGCTGTTATTTTGATGTGTATGTATAGATAAAACTATAATATATTGCTACGTTTACCGGTTTTAAATTTTTCCTAGAAAAATTACGTTTCTTTTTCCCCAGCAAAACCACATTAAATATTATATAATACATTTTATGTCATAAATGTCATACTACACACACGGAAAAAAAACATAAGTAAAATAAACTTGGAGAAATATTAAAAAACGTAGATTATAAGATCTTATACAAAATTACAACTTTTGTAATATTTAAAGTACTAATTCAAATTGTACACATCAAACTATTACAAATGATTCAATAACACTTTTAAAAATACGTAGTATCCTGAAATACCTATAACAGGTTATAACAGTCCAAAATGTTAATTCCATCAGGTCATTGTCAAAGGACAGCTAGATCGGCAACACCTTAATATATGAATATTTGTTTGTTAATAAAAAAAATATACTTCCCACTTTTGGAACGTTAAATATTAATACATTTTAGTGTTCCCTTCTGGCGTCCCAATTTGCTTGTAGTTCACTATGAGTTTCGTCAGCACTGTTGATCAGACAATCCGTCATTGCTTCGTTTTGAATATTAAATTAAAACAGTGATAACACACAACAATCGTTTGTTATAGTAGTTTACGCGACGATTGCGTAAAGATAACGTTAACGACACAAGTAGAAAATTTAAGATATGAGCCTTGGTGAGTGACTTAAAAACTTCTACGAGTGTTGTTTACGCGAGTTGCGTACACTACTTTACACGACAGTGTTTTAATTACAAAAAATCACTACTCATAACATTTAAGAGAGGTTATGTTTCAGTTTATAACCTCTCATTGCCACTGACAGTGATGCAACGAAACATTGTACCAAACACTAATTGCACCACTCAACAATTAAATTGGCCTGAATAGCTGATCAGTTGAAGTTCGAATCCTTACAATTTTACTTCTTCTCTCTACTCTTCCTCCTACTCTTCCTTGAACCTCATTGGTCCGTAACCCGTGTTGTTATGAGTAAAACTATGCTGTTATCAAAATAAACAATAATTCTGTTATGAGAAACTTTTCAATTCTAGGAACTGAACTAAACTACTTAAAAAAAAAAAACTGTCGTAAGTAAAATGCCCTTCCGTGTGTAAATTATTGTGTATCATAAGGGTGTATTTTAATATTCAAGACGAAGCAATGGTGGATTACCTGATGTCACTGTGTGGACGAAACGCATATTAATCTAAAACAATCCTGGTAACATTAAAGTTTATGTGGTGTAACTAGTATTATTTTTGTAGAAGACTACATTTCATACTAATTTTTATCCCACGTGCGAACATCAACCTTTTGCTACAACCAATTGGAAGCCAATCAATTAATTGCCATCCGCTTCCAGAATAGATCCTGCTCGATAATTAAACCTGCACATCTAGATTTGAAGAAGAATATTAAAACTGCTTAACTACCAAAAATATTGATCATAAATAAATCAAATCAATATGGTAGAAGTAAACTCATTCCATAAAGTCATATTAATACAGGAAAATGTCGTAAGGCTAAGAAACAGCCTGATTTAAAAATGGAAAACGGAGTTGTGATGTCAAAAAATTGAAGAATGCTGGTCAAATCGAATAATCAAATTATTCGAAATTCGATAGTTTTCTGAGTATCCGAGTGTTTATTTGTCGTTGTTTATTAATCGTGCTAAAAATGGTATAAGCTGCTAGACAAGGGTTTGCGCGGTTTCCTTAGAGAAAACGTAAAATGTTTATGTCGTAGATAAACACAAAATAAAAGTAAAATATGTTTTCCACCTACAAGAGATTCTCCCACGTTAGTGCTACTGAAGGTTTTACTCATGAATACTTCTATAAATAAAGTTTGTGGAAACAAACAATTTTGTTTGAATAACAATGTGGAAATACAATAAAATAATAGCTATAGACAACAAATATACAAATTGATGAGATTATTTCATATTCGTATTTGGATGATTACACTGCTGGACGCCTGGGAATGAATAACCGTGCTCGTGCATTCATTATATAGGGTCTCCTGGAGAATAAAACACTGTTAAATCAACTATTTCAAGCCATCCACATTTATGTATTCAGTCCAGAGTTGGATATAGTGTTGATATCAAGTTGCATCATATTCTCAAAGTGGATTTGGATTGTCTATGTTTGTGATGCTTATTAAAATTGGTCAATGCATCTTTCATACGTAGCCTACTTTGAAACGTTACAAGTATACATCACATTTATAGAGCGTACGATATCAAAGATAGCATACATTCGCACTCTATGTTTCAGTAAACTCGGAATAAGTAAGTTAACACGGATGTTAAGTTCATCAGGTTTGAAAAATGTGTAAGTTCGACCCATAGTAGAATGTTAGACGTAGATAGTCAAATGGCCAATGCCTGGGTGAATTTTTTTCATTTGTAAATGATGTTTTCTAAACAAGTCAATTTGTTAAATCCGACACAAATTAGAGGTATTTTTTTTAATTGAAAAAGTTTTTTAAGTAGAGGATCTCCCATGAACAAAGTAAACTCAAATCTTGCTGGGGCATAACTGAACTGGTTAAAATATTGCCACACGTTTCCATTCCATCCCAATTACAGCGGAAATTCAGCCTAGTTGAAGTAAAGCTGCCCTGAAGATGGACTGCCGGAACTTATCCAAAACGTCCCCTATTATTCATTAATTCAAAACATTAATTCATTATTTCATTATTTTCAGCCAGTTTGAAGACGCAATGGTCTTCCGACGGCAAAAATTCAGAAGAATTGGTGAGGTATTTTATAAAATATTTTTACTAACTATTAAAAGTTTGGATAGTTGCAGAGAGGAAGTATGGTCGCTTACGCCTAGCTCGCTCCAGTAGCGCGGGAAAATTCCCACAAAGCCGGGAAAGAACGACCCAGACCTCGGAGGGTCAATGGCTCACTACAGCTGCTTCTTAATTAGTTGGCGACTTGAAACCGAAGGATGGTAATTATTTCACCTACTCAACTTCAAAAAGCATAACAATGCTTTATTCTTTTCAACATTTACCACGGAAAATAATAGCTCAGCAGATGAAGTGTTTTCCCGGAATGTTTTAAATTCTCTGTGGAGCAGAGGGTTTTAGTGCCCACCTCAAAATCTGATCTTGAGTGGGATCTATTTTAGTATCAAGGGCAATTTATGCTCCATCAAACATCTACCTTCCCATTTCAATTTATTTTATAACCAGATTTCGACTTTTGATAGCAATAAAACCAGTATATGGGGTCCGCATGAAATAGTGTAAGAACTTAAAAACAAAGAAAAAGACAAAAGAATACACGCGTCTGTTAAAACATCTAATAAAAGCACAAAACAACCTCGGTCCGAGAAATACAATACAAAACAGAATGGCTTAGTTTGTAAAAAAAAACATTCTTGGTCAACTAATTACGAAATAAAATATGAAACCGATCATAAGTTGTTAAATAAATCTGACATAGTTTTCTGGCAAGTTGTCATAAAACTGATATATTATGTGTCATTAGGCTTGAAATTGATTTTATCAGTCCATTAGTCTGTTAAATAGTTGAATTAATCTGAATTCCTGTAATTATTATGTATAGCTTTTTTGCATGTCTATAAGAACGTCAATTATATTTATAGTAAACTATAGTACCAACACAATATGTCACAGACTCCATTATCTGTTGATAAAGCCGCGTTATAAATTTATGATTGGATACAAACGTGAAACAAATCGGTTTTGCAGCTACAAAGTATAATGGAAACTCTATTGTGGTTTAATTGAACAAATAGATCCATTCGCTATCAGGCTTTGTGCCAATGTACACAGCGAAAATAGCCTATAAAGCAACCTTTAAACTACTTTCTGTATAAGTCTGTTTATTTTCATGGATTATAAGGTTCAGTCTATTCAGTTATGCTAAGATAGACCACGTTTGTTTTTATTTGACCTAAACATGTCCCTTGTACAAATGTTTTACAATGGGTTACCTATATTTTAATAGTTGAAGCCAATTGGAATTTAAAAATTATATTTATCTTTATGTTACGATTAAATGCTGGTGTCAGCACTGTAGTAATGTGTTTAAAAAAATTTCTCACTAAGGGAATTAACTA